TAGTGCAAGAGAATAAGGGGAAAGTGAGACCGGTCATGGACTACAGGGAATTGAATACCTTTGTAGATGCATATACGGCCAACGCGGACGTTTGTGCCCAGAAATTGTGGGAATGGCGACAGCAAGGGAGCAATGTGGCCACCCTAGATTTAAGAAGGGCCTACCTCCAAGTCTGAGTCCACCGATCACTCTGGCCCTTTCAGACTGTCATGGTAAAAGGACAGAGATATTGCCTCACTCGATTGGGATTTGGTCTTAATGTGGCTCCAAAAATCATGTCAGCGATTATGAATGTGGTCATGTCACAGGATGAGGAAATTTGAAGGGCAACGTCATCCTACATTGACGATACTTACGTCAATGAAAACGTAGCCTCTTCAACGAGGGTTAAGGAACATCTGGAGCGCTTTGGCTTGGTGTGCAAGGCCCCAGAGCCGTTACAGGATGGAGTGAATGTACTTGGACTACACGTCAGTAGTGATGGAGAAAAACTTCGCTGAAGGCAAGGTAGTGATCTCCCAGAAGTCCCGCCAGTGATCACTTGTCAGAGTACCTTCTCCATGTGTGGGAAACTGGTAGGCCATTTTCCTGTATGCAGTTGGCTCAGTGGCAGCAGCAGCCATAAAGCGCTGCGTAACTTCTGTTTCATCAGGATGGGATGATGAGGTGCACGACGTTACCCTAAGATGCTTGATAACTGAAACTACGGAGAGAGTGATGCAAGACTATCCTATGCGAGGTGACTGGTGCATTAAGGGGAACGAACTCACTTGAGGATAACGGGTCCATCATAGAAGACGCCTGCTGGTTACGACCTGAAAATCATCACGGACTCAGCATGCACTCAGCGTTGGATATCAGATGTACTTAGCGGAAGAGTGCGACTAACCACCAAGGCATCGAGCGAGATGTTGATATGGAGGCGGCTCACCACGCTGATTGAAACTATCAAAGAGTACAACCTGTCTGTGGATGTTGTGTTAGTTAAATCGGCAGTCAACAGAGCAGATGCATTGACTCGCGTTCCGCAACGTTGGTTGGCTGCAGCTCGGAAAGAGTCTGAACCTCTGCAGCTGCCGTGTACGGCTTCTGCACTCAGTATGGACCTCGAGTGGATCATGAGCATACATGAACAGTGTGGGCATCCTGGGATTAAACGGATGCTCTACTTCTCGAAGATGGTCGACCCGGCAGTCAAAAAGATGGATGTTAGGACACTAGTGCAGAGGTGCGAGGCATGCCAGTCAATTGACCCGGCACCGGTGCAATGGCAAAAAGGAAATTTGAGTACTACCCATGTTTGGAACAGGCTGGGGATAGATGTTACGCATGTTGGCAGCCAGCACTATTTGACTATTATTGACTCTGGACCCTCTCGCTTCGCCATTTGGCAGGAACCGGCAGGACACTGTCAGCATAAAAGTCAATTGGAGTCCATCTTTTACAACCAGGGGCCACCTGCAGAAATACTGACAGATAATGGTGTGGCGTTTTCTTCAGAGCAATTCTTGCAGTTCTTAGAGAAGTGGGGTGTGTGACTTCGGTTCCGGTGCACCTACGTGCCGGCGGGAAACAGCATAGTAGAAAGGAGCCACTGGTCTATAAAAGGGATTGCAGCCAGGAAGCGATGTTCGATCCCCGAAGCAGTCTATTGGTATAAGGCAACGCCTAAAGACGGTGTTTCGCCTACAACAGCACCGGCTAACATGGTGCACGCCTATCACTTACGGCTGCGAGGCATTGACATCGCAATGGCTCTGAGTGACGCGCAATCTAAATACTGAATTGGTGACATAGTGTGGGTTAAGACCCCGCACAGCAAGTGTACGGACAAGCTTAGAATGGGGCATGTTACCGAGATTATCAGCCCGCAGTCAGTGCAGGTTGATGGCGTGCCTCGTCATGTTAAAGACTTGCGGCCAGTTGTAGGGTTAAAACCGTCATCAGATGATGAACGTGACTCTGAAGATGGTGTGCGAGTGGTGTATTTAAAGTCGGATCCACTGAGTTTTACCTCAAACATCAGTACTCTACCTGCAGCCAGCTGTCCGGAGACGGATGGTAGCTCAGCGGATGAGAGTTCATCCGAGGATGAGGACCCTGTCATCCCGCTCAGAAGGAGTGCCTGGCAGAAGAGGCCTGCCCTGAGTTGCACGCTCTGCGATCATGACAGCGAGACACAGGATGAATTTGGAAATCTGCCACCTCGGAGCAAACGAGTTCGCGCATGTGTGGCTATCCCGATATGTCAAGCGTGCAAGTTATATATATGCAGATGCGGTCACCAGACAGATGTGAACATCTCTCGAACTGAGAAGCTTTGTGATCTTAAGATCAGGGCGGCGTGTAATGAGTTGGTCGGTCAACACTTTCATAGTGTTTTGACCCCAGTTTTGGGGGGGGGGGTAACCATGTTAGTATCTCTTCTTTCTGGAGAGTTTGCTAACATACTTTACTTTGTAGTGTTTCTGTCTCCAATCCACTTTTCTTTTCCTTGAACTTGTTCTTGTTGGTTCCACAATTTGTTTTGGTACTGGCACATCAAAAATGTCATACAGCATTTTAACCGGTTCTTCAGGTCTTTCATTAGTTAATATTTTCTTCAGCTGATTCTGGTACTTTTTTATGTTGGAATTTTTAAATTTGTCACTTGTCCACTTACATTTTTCCAATAAGCGCTTATTGCAAATCCCACAGTTTGAATAGTTCCATCCAGTCTGTACCAAATAGATATGTCACATTTCTTAGAACATAAGCTTTTGTTTACACCTGCTTTTTTCGAAAATTAAACATCACATGTTAAAAAAAATAAATGAATTTCTTACCAGAAACTGAAGTTGTGACTTTTTTAATAAAGATTTTCCAATTTCTTTCCACATGGTTTCATTTACTATTGAAATGTCACTCTTAGTATCTAGTAACATTTTTACTCCCACATTGTTGATTTGCATGTTAACAAATTTTCTTTTGTTTCATATGCCTATTTTTTCTGTTGCAATATTGTGTATTAATTTCTTCCTGCAAAAATTTTTCCTTGGTTTGGTTCTGCAGTGTGGCTGGATATATCCCTTTTTACCACAGTCATAGTACTCTGCACTTTTCCATGGACTGTCTTTCCTAAGGTGTAATTTTCCACATCTGAAACAAGGTTTTATATTCCTTTTTTGTACATTTTTTTCTTAGCTTTTACCAATGTCATTCTTCAGACTTAGCATTGTTTGGCAATCATCCACTGTTTCCTGAAGTGTTACATTATTATGTTCAATTTTTGCTAAAATTTTCATTCGTACTTTGTCTGCTGTTAGACTTTGCATGAAAATTAATCCCTTGAACATATCTGGACACATTTCCTTTAGTTTAAATTGTTCACATTCTCTGTTGATGGTACTCACATACATGACAAAATCTTCATGCACTTCCAATGAACAGAGAGCACTTGTCACTAAAATTTTCATCAAAATGTGTACTCTATTTTCAAACCCTATTTTACCTGGTTTTCTTAGTAAAATATAATTGCAGTACTTTTCATACTCTATTGGAGCTATTTTTCTTAAAAACAACCTTTTTTTTTTTTTTTTTTTTTTTTTTTTATCTTCTTCCCAGCCACTGCATTCCTGACTAAATATTTCTTCATGTCTACAAAAATACACAGCAAAAGTCAGTCTGTTATCAGGGTTGTATACAAATTCTGATATGGTGTTTTGCACCATGTCTGGCATAAGAGATATTGAAGCATTTTTCTTCAAAGCCACTTCCAACAACTATTCTTGTTTTTGTAACTGTAGCAACTGTTGGGTATTGTGTTGTTACTTCTGTTGTTGAATTTCTACAATGGAAGCCAAAATTTTCTCCATATCTGCAAGAAAATTTTTTTTTTTTTTTTTTCCAAACCAACATGGTTGAAATTCTTGTGACTCCTGTTGAACATACAAGTTTTGAAAATCTGGTTGCCCACTATTATAACTCCAGTTATAATGCTGCAATTTTTATCCCACGCTAATAATATTTGCATTCCTCATTGCCAACTATCATAACTTCAGTTATAATGTTGTGCTTGATTTAGAGATCCTCATCACCAACTATTATAATTTCAGTTATAATGTTGCAATTTTATCCTGCGCTTGTGTTTGAGTATTCTCATTGCCAACTATTATAACTTCCTATTGTAAGGTTATTGTACTTGGTATAACATAATTCATTAACGTATTCTCTATCTGTAATGCTTAGGCTATTGCCGTAATGCCTATATAGTTAGTATGATGACTGAATCCAATATGACTACTCATGACCTCATAGCGTAAAAATCTTTATAATATTGGACAAATTCATAACTTTACCAGGGGTGTACTCTTTACTTCACAATTGTAAATCACTAATTATCGATCAATTAAATCTTTTCTTTTTTTTTTCTCTTTAAAGCAAAACAAACCTTTCAGATGCACACTCTGAATATTTGTTCAAGATTATTATTTCATTACATGTACTAAAACTTTGATTTCATTTTTCCTGTTTTAATAATAATTATAGTATAACTTATTGCAATTTTCCCATTGATATACAATAAAGACATAATTTACCAAATGTGTAAACAGAATTAAGAAAAGTTTGAGATGAAAAATTGGTTCCCTTATGCTCAAATATTTCTTGAAGATCTAATGAGTTGGAAATGTTAAAAGCTGCAAAGTAAAATGTTATTTTAATTTGTACTAAATTCACCATTCTAAAATCGTGCTTAATAAACCTTGAGCTTGTATGCAAATTACACTTTGTTTAGACTAAAATATATTTTTAATGAGTGTAACAGTTTATTGGCAAAAATATTGATGTGACCACTCATGTATTTTTTTTTTTTTTTTTTTTTTTTTCATAATTCAGAAGAATTTCCTTGGTTACTATGGATTAATTTAAAAAAAAAAAAATTTTTTTTTTTTTTTTTTTTTTTTCATTTTTCATTAAAATCTTATTCCCTTAAAAAATTCTAAACTTTCATTTTGTTTTAGATTCATGCTGAATTTTTGCACAAGGACAACCCAAACTTGTATAAAGATGACAACCACAAGCCAGAATTGGCAATTGCTCTGACTCCTTTCCAAGGATTGTGTGGATTCCGTATCATTCAAGACGTTGCCAAATATTTACAAGGTAATATAAACTTGTTACAGTAAAAAAAAAAATTCTTCTCCAAACTGCCTATAAAATGTTCTTACATGTTAGTATATTTCTATTAAATACTTATATTTTATATATGGAAACATTTAAATCTGTGCCAAAAATGTCAATCACACGTATCAGGAACAATATAATTTCTACCTACTTTATAAGTCGGAATATTCTATGAAGTCTTCAATAGCATCACCATTTTTAAGTGCTAGCTGTTTTCACCTAGAGGAACAGAATCTAAATGTGTATTAATTACAAATAGGCTCCATTTTTCTAATCTAAACAAGTCTAGCCTATGCTAATATCACCATTAAAACTGGATGCATCAAAACTGCATGGGAGATTATTTTTAAACCTGTTGCTTTTTAGTACTCGGTGATAGCCTCTATTTTTGGCAGGAGCCAAGTCTGTCTGTTTTGTGCAGGAGGTGCCAGCAGCAACTGATAGGAACTAAGAAGGTTATATACCCCAAATAAACAGCAGTTTTCTTCCTTTCTGACTGCAGTCAGTTGGCCATAATGAACAGTACATTTACACATATCTGTATGATCAGCTCTGGAATACGTATTTAATGCTTACAAAGTTGCTTATTGAATTGTTCTGTAATGGGGAAAGTATTTCGTGTGGCTATTTTTTTTTTTTTTTTTTAATGTAGTAATGAATTTCATAAATCTGGTATCAGTAAGATATCCTCAAATATCCACCACCACCACTCACTGTTTCTGTGCATTTATATTTACATAATAGACAATTCTGTAGATTGAATATACAAGGACTTTTTTTTTTACAATGATGTTCACTCTGTACAAGGCTCAAAAACCACTCAAGGTAGAGGGTTACAGAGTAAAAGGCACAATTTATAGGGGTATGTGGGGAAGATAACAGTTAACCCTAGATTTGAACAGGCTATGAATGTAGTGATAAAATGAAGTAACCTCTTGGGAGTCTGTCTATATTTCTGAGATGAGGTATTATGTACAGTATTTACATTAGTCGAACTATTGTCCTCATCTTTCTCGCCATATTTGTCACAACGTTTCAGCCGTTGTACGCTCCGGCCTTCTTCCACGTTTGATGGATGTCAGTTATCAGTTATCTCCTGTCCTTGAGGACACATGGCACAGTGGATAAAGGCGTTGGTTAGATCCAGTGACAGACCCAAAGAAGGTGAGTTCAATAAGGCAGTGGAGAACTTTCAGAGGGAAAATTAGCAGGAAATAACTGACATCCATCAAACATGGCACGTGGAACTAGAACAGTCTACCCCAGTGATCGAAATAAAGGGTTCAGTTTGAAATTCCAACCACCTGAAGAAGGCTGGAGCGTACAACGGCTGAAACGTTGTGACAAATATGGCGAGAAAGATGAGGACAATAGTCCGACTAATGTAAATACTGAACCTCTTGGGTGTTAGTTCCACAAAGCAGCTGTTTGTGGGAAGAAGCTGCTCAAGTGGAACATACATATCACTAATGGAATATGAAAGGGTTTGCTACAAGGTGCGTGGCATGGTGGGTCTTAGCCGTGAAGGTTAGAACTAAGCAATGTGGTTAGTCTGAACACTTTCCATGGAAATAATGATAAAGCAGTGAGAGGCTTGCAATGTTTTGTCTGTGGGGAAAGGGGTTGCAGGATGGGAAATAATAGCTTGTCTCACAGAGTAATCAAGTTTTTGGCGTTTCGCCATGGTGTCGGCTGATGCAACGTTTACAAATGACTAAGTAAGACTTATTCTTTAGAGGAAATCAAAAAATTTGAATATAGCATACTGTTTACATTGTTTTTCTCAATTTTGTCCCTTACTTTTGGACGTTGCAAATTTGAAAATAAATAAATGTTATAATTCTTTTTCTATCCTTTGCAAATGATTCAAATTTTAGTTTGTTATTATGGATGATAACGACTACCAGTTGTCAAAATTTCAGCTTTTCACAGTTGTTATTTCTAACAAATATTAGGTTTTAAAATTTTGTCCCTTAGTTTTGGACGCTACTGTATACTTTTGAAGTTGTAGCTAAAATAAAGGGAATGATGTAAGGTCCAAAAAATTAAATTAAAAACTGGCCTTTATTTTCAAACCTAAAGAAAACATACATGCCATGCTGGAATGTATATTTTCATCATCTCTTCGGAAGAGGGAGACTAATTTGATCCAAAATGAGAATTTATTTTCTATATTAATCTTGCCAGAGGTTAAACAGTTTTGGTATTATTTTTGGATACAGCTTCATAGTTTGTGATATCCACTTATTGACCACTTAAGTTCACAAGCAGGAGTAATGAAAATTTAAAAAAAAATGTTACCTAACTACAGCTAACTGCAGAAATTTATCAATTCATATTAGTTAAATCTTGTGAATCATGTTAGACAAATAATAATCAAATACTTTGGAAAGGTTTATTCCTTCATCATTTAACTAGATCCAACTCTAAACCTACTTTGCTCTTAACATTGAAACAAAGTAATGTTTTTGTTAGTTATTCTATACAAGGTTTACATTAGTAGTATTAACAGGGTGTCTTGTTTCTTGGCAAGGAAAATATTCCTTCAGTTGCTAGACTTGATTGAGAAGTAATTTGCGGCCGTTAATTACTTGCAGCAGTTTTGCAGGCAATTCTGACTTTATTTTGATGCCTTTTATTTACCTTTTTATGAAAATTGGAGAAATCGTTTTGCCTGCTACCCAAACAAAATGATGCTGTACTAGACTAGATTATGCCAAATCTGAATTGTCCTGCCAGGATTTTATGCTATACACATAGGATATTTTATGTTCAAGCTACATCTATCAATAAGTATATAGTCCCACGTATGTTCAAGGGAAATATAGAAGATGGTGGGGAAATAAGCAAATATAAAATCCACACTGTTTCAGAAAATGATTGAGACACTTGCTTTCATATTTTGGTGCACTGTGTTGGTCTTCTGTTGATCATGTTTAGGTTGAACCAACTATGATACCTCAATTCCATATCAAATATATCCTGGTAGAACCTCTTGCCATGCACACCATTTACATTGCCCAGATCCATTGGATTGGAGACAAATCAAAATAGATGAAACATCTGGCATCCCATTTCTTAGTTTTTCAGGTCTCTGAAGCTATTTTCTTATTTATGCTTGTTGTACTTAACTTTTGGAATACCATACCATCAGTTTAACTGGATACTAATATACTATTAATATATTTACTTTGAACATAAATATCTTATTCATATATCTAAAAAATCTGATGTACTAAGACATGGCTGAGTACTGATTTATCAGCATACTTTATTCTTAAATATGCCTTTTACCCAGTAGCAAACTCTTTGTTGCCCATTGTAAAATAGTGTTTGTATCTTTGCTTTTTGGCCTCTTTTTAAAAAGTTCTCTGTTTAAACCCACTCTATTATTATAACCTGTTCTTATGACAAAGCATACTGAACCATTCCGGACTGGGGTTGGAATGTATTTTCTCTCCCACAGTGACCAATGCTCTCTATTCATGGTCTGTTTTTTCCAAATCTTCTTACTGATCTTCATGTGCTCACTCTTTACTCAACCACAGCATATTTTCAATTTTTCATTTCTATCACTAGCCTTCACTTATCCTTTTTCACCCAGTTTCCCTAATCTTTCTAATGAACTTTCATTCCTATGCCTGACTTGCTTCTCTCTATATCCTCTTGTCTTTTGGGGGGTGGGGGGTCTAAAATACTATCTTGTTTTTCAGCCATTTATTTTCTCCTTTCCTTCAGCTATACTATAATAAATGAACAAGCAATTTCTAAAGGAATCAGCAAGAGAAAAAAAAACAAAAAAAACCAAGAACCTCATCCACACATAACAGAGCAGTGACAAAAAAGGAATAAGAAAACAATTTATATATTTTTTTCTGACTCCTCTTATTTCTGCCCTGCTCAGCCCTGTCTTGTTTTTGGCTGTTCCTGCTTGTTGTATTATCTCTGAAGCCTTTAATTATTTTACACCTTATAGATATCAAACGGTCCATATTACTTTTGTCCCAACAATAAACTTCAGTGTTTTCTTTCTTCTGCTAGTCTGGGTTGATTGATGCTGGTCAATATCAATCAGTGGTTGGTATGCTATCATCGGAGTTTGTTTCTGTCTTGAGACCTGAAAAGTGCAAGAGAAGAAACTGTTAGTATAAAACTTAGTTACATATTACCATTTCAACTGTAAAATGATGAGATATTGTTGCCAATCTAGTACTGTGCTTAAACTTATAAAGTCTAAGTACCAAAGAGGAAATCACATCAGAACAATTACCATTACTATTTATAGAAAAGGCACAGGTAAGCTATGTTATGGCAGTGGGAAAGTGACTGAAGGTGATATGACAGGTCAGGACCAAAAACATTGCGGATTCTTGCTTGTATTTTATCAAGACTCTCTAAATACACAGCAAAAGCATAAGACTAGATGTGGCATCAATATTCAAGGCATGTATGAATGGTAGACTTATAAATGTGTAAGATAGTTTCTGGTGAAAAAAATTTGTCTAACATGATATGGCAAACCAACTTTCCAGGCAGCAGACCAATCAGTTTATTCAATATAATCTTTCTGCTTCATGTCGATGGAAAATGTTAAGGTTGCAATGAGTCACTCTTCTAGAGGTTAGCATCAGCTATTCTGATGGAAGGTAGAAATGGTTTCTCTCGAACAATAGAGAGCAATTTCATTTTTGCCTTTGCAGGTAAACTGACATCTGACTGTTCATAGAAGACTTCAAAAGTAGCAACTTCTCTTGAAAATGAACAAAATCTGGCATTGTGGTATTATCAAGTGCCTGTAGAAAAAGGGTTTAACTCCTAATGACATTCATACTGACATGGTTACTATATTAGGAGATGACATCCCAATTTTATCAGTAGTGCAAAAGTGGGCAGCTGAATTTAGGAAGGGAAAGGGGTTTTGAAAGTGGATGTCCTGCCACTGCAACCATCAAGGAAAATATTGATTGTGTTCACCACATGGTGATGGCTGACAGGTAATTGACTATAAATCAAATAACCAAAACTATCGGCATATCCGGTGAGAGAGTTGATAATATTCTGCACAATAGACTTTGCATGACAAAAGTTTCTACTGAATGGTTTCCTCAAACATTTCCTAACCCAGGATAAGTGTTGCATTCATCATTTTGAGACAGAGACGATCCATGCAAGAGAAACATCCATCTTCACTTGCACCGAAGAATGCCAAGGTCATTTCATCTGAAGGGAAGGTGATGATCCCATTTTTTTTCAAATGCAAAAAGCATTGTGTTTATTGGCCCTATTCAAAAGGGCCATATCATTAATGGAGAGTACTTTGCCAACTTTGCTGAAACAGTTAGAAAAGCTTATCAAGACCAAATATCCAGGAAAACTGACAAAAGTGGATTTGTTTCATCAGGACAATACTCCAGTTCACAAGTCCTTGGTTTCAATGGCTGCTGTGTGTGATTGTGACTTTGAACAGGTTGATCGCGCTGCAATACAGTTGGTAGCCAAATTTATATCTGTCTATATTTCTGAGATGAGGTATTATGTACACTATTTACATTATTCGGACTATTGTCCTCATCTTTGTTGCCATATTTATCACAACATTTTGGCCATTCTCCAGCTTTCTTCAGGTGGTTGGAATGTGAACCCGTTATTTCGTTTGTTGGAGGAAAATGTTCTAGTTCCACATGCTATGTCTAATGGATGTCAGTTATCAGTTATCTCCTGTTAATTCCCCTCTCCAAGTTCTCCACTGCCTTAACCAAGTATTGAACTCACACTCATTGGGTCCTGTCACTGGATCTAACTAACGCCTTTATCCACTGTGCCAGACATGGCACGTGGAACTAGAAGAGTCTACCCCAGCGAGCAAAATAAAAGGTTCAGTTCGACATTCCAACCACCTGAAGAAGGCCAGAGCGTACAATGGCTGAAACTTTGTGATAAATATGGCAACAAAGATGAAGACAATAGTCTGAATAATGTCAAAATTTATAGTTTGTAATTTTAATTGTTGCAAACACTAATCACGAGTAAAAGAAATAGTTATGACGCCGGTTTTAAATTAAAAGTACTAAATTATGCAGAAGAACATGGAAATCAATATACAAAAGTGTATTGATAATTGTAAGTTTTGAAATAAAGGTAGATATCTGATAATTCTTATGTTTAAAAAGGGCTGTGTAACTACCCAGGTTATAGTGCGACCTATCTGCAATTCAACAGTAAATCTCTATCTATAAAAGGCAGGATGTGTGTGTGTGTAACGAATGCATGGCCGCAATTTTTGACGGATTTGGACCAAAATTTACATGCACATCTTCCAAGTTAGCGGGAAGGCCAAGACTGACTTTGCATTTCCCAACTCCCATTGATAGTGGAAATAATCGATTTTTTTTTTTCATGCTTCTATGGCAGTTTTCATGTAGTTTGCGGCTATTTTCTACTGGCCAGAGTGAGAGCCTATAGCTGGCTGCCACGAATGTTAACTAGCATGCTAGCATGCAAAAAAATCGATAGCTGCATTCGTCACAAGTGGGAAAATGTTAAATCTGCATGGCACTTTACTCCAAATGGCTCATTCACTTGCTTAAACTCAACGTTGATTCTGATTCCACAGAACTGGGTTGGGTGTGAAAAAATATTTGTTGTTAACATTCTTTTTTCATTCGGTTTTTCCAGTTACGAGTCCTTTTTTTAAAGCTGATCGCTTTGTGTTCATTTTGTTTAGTTCTTTTTTTGTAACAGATTTAATGTTTAGTATAGAGCTTAGAAAAAATTCGCAGTGTGAGATAGGCGAGTAAGTATAAGTGTAAGATAGGAAGTAAGGCATGTAGCAACATAAGCACAGCAAAGGGCACTCCTTTAAAGGCAAGGAAGGGCAAAAATATTTTAAATCAAGTGATAGCGATTGCTGTATGAGTCATATGGTTTTTGAATCGAGCACGGGCAACGCCAGGCCATGCTGCTAGTCATCAATAATTAAGCCATAAAATAGGGGTGTGAAAAATCTTGGGTGAAATGGTCACTCTGCTGCACACTTGTTACAATTACAGGTGATAATGAATATGCTATTGTCTACTGCATAAGGCTTTGTCATCCCTACTGACAAGCTGTTTTGTTTTTTTGTTTATTGTTGTTGTTTTTTTTTCCTCAGATATTCCAGAATTCTACAATGTTGTTGGCAATGAAAAAGCTGTTAAACTCATCACAGCTAGCAAATCAGTTGACATGCCCTTACATAGAATTGCAATGAAAGATGCTTTTGAATCTATGATGATGCGTGACAAATCAATTCTGAACAGTGAACTTCGAAAATGGGTTGGCAAAATCATGGAAATGGGTAATTACTTTTATTTTTATGCCTTTCAGTCTGGTCTTCTGTAATTTCACTTTTCATTCTCTTCCAGTTTAGATTTTTAAAAGGAAAATTTTCAGAGATCTGATTCTTATGGATATGTTTTATAAAGTGATAATTTTGAAGCTACATAAATAAGTCTATGTTCAACTTCAAGTAAATTTTGTTAAATGCTCTGAAATATGAATGGATTTTTGTTTGTAAAACTAAAATTCTGAAATGATGGTTAATATTTTATAAAATTTTAACATGCAAACATTAGCACTTATTTTAAAGAATTGATGAATTTCTTATTCTGATGTTTAAAAGTGAGTTTTCTGATCCCCTTTTCAATTTCCCAGTAAAAAGATCTTATTAACAATGATTTAAATATTAACCATAACTTTAAGTTTGCGGCACTTTTTCATTATGGCATGCTAATTTTTTAGCCAGTCAATGGTGGTACCTATTTAAAAGGAGGGAAAAAAAATAAAAATGAACCCACTTTAAAACGTTATGCTTATTATCTTCTGTAACTGTTTAAAAAATAATTAAATAACTTTTTACAAATTAACATGCATTCATAAAAATGTATCCAGTTTAATTTCTTATGAAAATGTGAAATTTTTAATTTAGCTTCCAAAATAGAACTTAATCTCAAAAATTAGTAAGTAAATGATCATTCAGGAAAGAAAACTGAAATTTTATACACACTCAGGTGCATTCACAAAAAAATTTTTTATTTTATTCTTTATAAAATAAATTCAGTTTAATATTTTTTTTTTTTATTTTTTTTTTTTTTTAAAGAAAATGTCAAGAGACATTCAGCAGTGTTTAACCTTAGTGTTCACAAAAAAAAAACAAATGATATGTCAAAAGCATGGTTTTTCCCTTGACACAGCTTGGCTTTTAAAAAGCAATGATTTTAATGAAAGTGAATTTATATATTTTCTTTGTTCTTGAGAATTGACAACAATAATATTAAACACTATTATTAGATTGTTTATTTACAAGAGTAATTTTATATTTACAACAATTTAAAAACTAATACAATTAATTTAAAACTAATACAATTGCAATATTTTAAATTTATCAATTTATAAAGAAATAAATATGAAAAGAATATTTTAAATTTATAAACGTTTACTGAATTATAAAAAATATGTGAACCAATTGTAATGAAATCCTTATTATTTACCATTGTAGTTTGTGTATAAACTTCAAGGCTCTATGATATACGGCTATTAGGGGAGGGGGGACAACTTTTTCTCCTACTTAAGGACTATTTGGTATGGACATAATACACTATGGAAGAATTGAAGATATTTATTCAACAACTATTACAACAGCAACAGATTGAATATCAAGAGAAGTGATAAAAGAAATCTTGGTAAAGCAATTTAATTTTTGCTGGACTCGGTCACTAACTCAGTGAATTTCATTACATTCCCATCGTACTTCAGAAGGCACAAGACCATTTTAAGAGAAGAATGTCAAGGATGGTTGGATGAAAAGAAGGTACAGATTCTGTTATGAAAATTGTGCCTCGCTGAGCATGAAAAATATCTGAATTTCATTTTGCTGAATACTCTAGAAAAAGTGTCATTTAACAAAACAATGTCAATATTATCAAAAATCTTTGAAGAGAATTCCGTGTTTTATACATGTTGGCAATGCATGAACCTCACTAAAGACAAAAATGAAGATTTTGTTACATATGCAAGTAAAGTCAACAGTGAATGTGAGAAATTTAAACTGGGTGAATTATCCCCAGACATTTAAATGTTTAATTTTCGTTAAAGTGCTAACATCAAGCAACAATGCAGAAATACTCTCAAATACTTACCAAATTTAAACAGGATTCAAAGTTAACATTATAGACTATTTTGGAAGAGTGCCAAAAAATTGTCAATGTAAGGCACAATACAGCGAAAATCAAGCAAAATAGCAAGACAATTACAACTAGTTAGAAAAAAAGATAATAGTACCAAAAGAAAAAATCCACAATAAAAATACTGTAAAATTTAACCTATGCTACAGTGTATCACAAAAGTGAGTACACCCCTCACATTTCTTCAAATATTTAAGTATATCTCTTCATGGGACAACACTGACAAAATGACACTTTGACACAATGAAAAGTAGCCTGTCTGCAGCATATATAACAGAGTTAATTTATTTTTTCCCTCTAAATAACTCAAAATATAGCCATTAAAAGCTAAATCCCTGGCAACAAAAGTGAGTACACCCCTAAGAAACTACACCCCTAAAAAGTGAGTACACCCCTAAGAAACTACACCCCTAAATGATACACTGTACATCTGTGGTAGGCTCCATTTCAAAAAGGAGTGTCCATTTAAAAACAAATGTTTTAAGTGTGGAAAAACGGGTCACAAACAAAGCTACTGTAAGTCAAAAAGAAATACACAAATTAACTTGCTGAAAGTAATTCTACCACTTAAAAACTGAAAAGTTGAAATAGAAAATTTGTGACAATACAAATGAATAACACTACAGTGAGATTTCAATTGGACACTGGTAGCAATATTAGAATTATTGATGAACAAACTTGGAACAGAATTGGCAAGCCTAACTTGAGAAAAACTGACAAAGTTGCAAGAGGAATATCAGTCAGGAAATTATTTCTTGGGGAAATCATGTGTGGCATCACCCTTGCAGGTAAAACTAAAAAAAAAAAAAAAAAAAAAAAAAAAAAAAAAAAAAAAAAAAAAAAAAAAAAAAAAAAAAAAAAAAAAAAAAAAAAAAAAAGCAGACGTTTGCATATAAAAAATTGAATTTACTAGGCATCAATTGGCTAGAGTTCTTTGAACTATGGAATTGGCCGATTTAATTCATTCTGTGGAAAAATCGATTTTTCTTCAGAGAAAAAGATTACAGCTAAAAAAAAAAAAACATTGAGTAAACAAAAAAAATAAATTCATGACTATTTTCTCGGAGAAATTGGGAAAATGTACAAAGTCAAAGGCATTTTTCAAATTAAAAGAAAATGTGGTACCAGTGTTTTAAGCCTAAAAGATATATACCTTTTGCTGAGTTATTGAAAAAATAGATTACTCAGTATGGGCTATGCCAGTAGTTTACATCAGAAAGAAAAATAAGATTCGTTAATGTGCAGATTTTTCAACTAGATTGACTGACTGCTTCCTACCACATGCGTATCCCCTAACAACTCTGGAGGATATATTTGCCAAATTAAATGGTGGTAATTTTTTTTTTTTTTTAAATTGACCTGTCTGACGCATATTTTTAAATCAAAGTGGATGAGGAATGCCAGAAGTTTCTGACTATTAATACACATAAAGGATTCTACAAGTTTAGAAGATTACCATTTGATTTAAAAGTAGCCCCAGGTATTTTCCAGCAAATAATGGATGCGATGTTGGCTGGACTAGACGATGCAGTCACTTACATAGATGATATTCATATTAAGAGTGCTATGAAAATGCAGCATATAAAATTGATTCAGGAAATATTTCAGAGACTATATGATTACGGTTTCAAAATCGGTGAACAGAAATATCAATTCATTCTTAACAAGATTAAATATTTAGATCAAATAATTGATGAAAAAGAAAGACCAGATCTCACCTGAGCAAGAGCCATTAAAGACATGTCTACCTCAGCAAATTTGGTAATCCTCCTACAATCATTTCTTGAATTAGCTAGTTATTATAATATTTATATGCCAGATATGTACAAATTGTGAGCACCTCCTGAATAATTTACTTAAAAAGGGTACAAAATGGTATTGACAGTTGAATTTTAAAAAGCTTTCAAAGGAATTGAAAAAAAATTACTAACTTAAAAGTTATCACTGACACAATTACAACCTGCATCAACAGATAATAGTAACGTTGGATGCAAGCGAATCTGGCATAGGAATGGTAATAGGCCATAAATTTGAAGATGGTACAGTGAAAGCAGTCATTCACGCTTCAAAAAGTTTGACAAATACGGAAAAATGCTACAGTCAAATTGAAAAGGAAGTGCTTGCTATAATTTTTGCTGTAAAGAAATTTCACAAGATTATATTAGGAAGAAAATTCCTGCTGTAAAGTGATCATCGTCTATTAAGTATATTCAGTTCTAAGAAAGGGATTCCCACAATAGACTATATCAAAATTCATTCTCAAAAGGATACTTTTATTCAAAAAAAAAAAAACTATAAATGTTGTTAAGTTGAAATGGAGAGAAACAAAAATTATCCTGTTAGCAATAATACAGTATTTTCTATTTGTGATGGAGTACTTTTGTGTGCAACTAAAGTTGTAATTCCGTTATCACTGCAAAATGGATTTTAAAACAATTCCATGTTGGACATCCAGGGATAGTGACAATGAGGTCCTTGATGAGAAGCTACATGTATTGGCCGAAGATATCCAAAACACAGGGAGAAAATGTAATGGTTGTAGTTTAGCAGTAAAATCACCACCTATAAATTATCAGGCATGGCCAAACACCATGAGCAAGACTACATATGGACTTTGCTGGACCACTAAATGGTTCAGTCTTTAATTGTGGCCCAAGATATTGAGGTGTAAATGACCTACTACTGCAATAACAATTAAATTCTTATGCAAACTTTTTGCAAGCTATGGAGTACCTGACAGTGTAGTATCTGATAATGGAACTGAATTTACTTCTAGTGAGTTTAAAAATTTCTGCAAATGCTACGTGATTGAACATTTGACAATGCCAATTTATCATCTGAGGTTGAATGGTCAAGTGGAATGGTTCATTGACACTGTCAAAAGACCATTAAGAAAAGCTAAAGGCTTGGAAGCTGAAGAAACGGAATAATACATTCTCCTACAAGGTCTGGACAATCCCTACTCTGGGCTGGGCAATAAGTGACATAAAGAAAAACTCAATCCTTTAAATCATAAAAAAAATTAGATAATTGCAAGATTTTATTGAATTTTGCTTTTTGGGGAAGAAATTATTCAGTAATAAATAGATTTTTTTTTTTTTTTTTATTTTTGGTCTGCCATTGAATAAAAATATAGATGTGCACATGCAAGTGGACATAGGCACACAATTTGACTGAAATTAGAATGGATATCTGTATCATGATAATTACTTTCTCTTTCTGCCTGGCAACAACCCCTGGATAACAGGAAAAGAATATAAGCCAAAATAAAGTGTACAGACCATTCCAATCATTTTTTTGACACCTGTATTTAAACTAAATATATTTTCTAATAAATGTAATATTTTAAATGGAGAAGCAATTTAGATTTGAAATTTTTTCATCTTGATGTCAAAGTGACAGGTATCAGACTGATAACAATCAAAAGGAAAATGGGATGCCTTTTAAAAAAAATTTTGTAATTTTTATTATGGACTAGTGCGAAAAAGTTAAAGAAAAAGACATCCTCTTCACATCCCCCCATCTCGACCCCAAAGAAAATGCATGTATTCAAATTTCAATACATCACACCCAACAGTCCCACATGGAATGGACTATGTAAACCTACTTTTTGGTTCATGGGCACTTCAAGTTAGATAGACACAGTGGTATGGAACCAACTGATTAGACAAGACATTGCTCTACAAGATGATGTAATTTTTACAAGTTGAATTTCTTTAGCATTTCAACACTAAAATTTACACCTTTAAATTTTTATGAAAGACAAAGCCCTATTTTAAGCCCACCAAATTGACAAGCATTTTTTTTTTTATTAAGCTTGGACTATGCAATATGTATTTACACACAACTGAGTACAACAAATTTGAAATGCATCAAGAAATTCTCAGCTTTTAAAGTGCAGAAAAGAGAACTGATAAACATTGAGATAGGGACAATTTAAAGATGTGAAATAAGCACATAAGAGAAAGAAAGAATTATATCTTTATTAAGAGAAAAGATTAAATTTTGTTTACATACCAATTTTATCACAATCTTGAAAATAAGCAACATCTGACCAGAAAATTAAAAGGAAATTTCACTATTTTGATTCCTTTTCACCATGCAAACTAGGGAGGTTTGGGATACCAAAAAAAAGAAGTGTCATGGTTTTCTTATTTTGGTATGCATCATAGTTATTGTATATAGAAATATCATATCTACCAAGTGAAATCAAGGATTATCACATTTCCAACAGAAATTTAAAGTAGCAGGTTAGTTGTCAATTTGATTTTTGATTTTTTTTTTTTTTTTTTTTAATTGCTGCTCCTGATTATTGATGTCCTTGACATATTAGCTGATTTATCTTAGAGGGAAAGTGCAAATTTGTGTTTGCATAGTCAGATTATTAACACAACTAAAGATAGTTATCCATTTTATGGACAATTTACTATCAAATAGCTTTGTTTTTGTTTCCCGCAACTTATCTCAAGATGTCCATTTTCTACTCCATCGCATCCTTTATTACATTATTTTAACATGTCTAATTTTGTTTCTATTTCCATTTCTTTATTGCTGTTTTTAAACAAACTCCCTTCAATATTTCTTCTCTTCCCCCCATGTAATTCTTAATTATTTGTATCTGCATTAAATTGATCTTTGTTTTATTTTATGCAACTGAAAAAAAAAAAAAGTATTTTATCAAATACAATCAAGTCCATTAGTCCTTCTAAAATGAGTTGGTTTTAGCTCTTGAGAAAATTTGTGATTTTTCATTCACATGAGAACAGCAAATCCACTCATCTACTCCTGAAAACAAACCAAAAGGTTTTGAGAGGAAAGAGCAAGGCACTTAAATAATTTATTCTCATAGAAAAAATAAATTGTGTATTTATTTTAGTATCAAAATTTGTAATGTTAACATTAAAAAAAAACTGAAATTATTTTTATGTCATATAAAATTAGTAATTGATTTTCATAAAAATGGCAATTTTTTTTAATATTCAATTTTAATTGAAAACTTTTTGGACTGTTTTCAGAATTCAATTATCAAAAATCTGAGCAGCTTTAAACATTTTTCTTGTTTCCACTTCCCATTCCAAAATGCTGCTATAACCTTAAAGCTTTTTTTAGTATGTAGTTATATTAGTGTCAATATAGTTATTTACTCATTGCTTTACAAATGCCCTCCCTCACCCCATTTAATCATTCCAAAGGATCACATTACACTTTCGCCAAATGATTGATTATAAGTTGAAATCCCACCAGTGCTAAATTCATTTAAGGTGCATTACCACCAACATTTGTATACTTGAAATTAAACGTAAATTTAACTTCTTTTTCAACAAAATAATTTTTTCTTTTTTTTCCCCCCACTTCATTTTGTTTCAGAGGAACAAGGCGAAGACCTTTCACCTTACAATGGAGAAGTCCTGTTAAAACTGCACCGAGAGTTTCCTGGGGATGTTGGCTGTTTTGCAGTGTATTTCCTGAATCATATCACTCTCCAGCCAGGCCAAGCTATGTTCCTTGATGCCAACTTACCTCATGCTTATTTATCTGGAGGTAAACAAATAGCATTAGAACACAATTCAGTCAGGGTGGAGGGGATATTAAATCACTGGTTACATATACAGTTTTAAGATGTGCTATATTTATGGGTAAAAATGCTCAATATGAGGAATGGTGTATATAAATATAAAAGTAGACACTGTTTCATGTGTAAATGCAATCTTCAGGCCTAAAAATAGCATTCCACCGAGTGTGTTGTCAGTCTCTCTCTCTCTCTATATATATATATATATATATATATATATATATATATATATATATATATATACACACACACACACATGCATGCAAATATCAAATTTTTAATGAATTGTATAGATGATTTAAACCATTTTTTTATAATTTTGGTCTGATGAGGCAGTTGTTTGAAAAAATTACCAAACTCTTTAATGATGTATTCAGTTTTTCCTTTTAAGATTTTATTTATTTATTTATATATATTTTACACACAAAATACTGCAGAGTGGGTACAGCCTGATGATTTCTATATGCATTGAATCAAAGTAGCATCAAATGATGAGGAATAAATATTTTTGCTGTGTGTGAAAGTAACACAAAGATGGTATTTGTTTGTGTTTCCGAGATGACATCCATGATCTTGAAATTGATGGATGATTTAAAAAATTACACACATCCTTCATTAGAGGATGAAAGGGCAATTACAGGCCCACTCCACCCCCACCACAAGGAAATTGTTCCTAAACCAAGTAATGTTGGGCTTGAATAGAAAAGGTCTGGACAAGTCCTATAATTTGATATTTAAACTAAAAAGACAAACTGGTTAAACATCAGTTTGAAAACAATTGTCAATATCAACAGCTACTAGTGGAGTGTCTTTGAAGAAACAATACTCAGTAAATTCTATACTTGGACAACATAATAGCAACCAAGTTGAGGAGGCATCATTGAAAATCACAAAGATGCCAGCAGATTAAATGGAGAGTAGGACATGCAATAGAGGGAAATCAGACCTTTTGAAAGTGAACAGGAGAGAAAACAATAGCCATCTGGCAGAGTTGGGACATGTAGAAAAATTGGCCAGCCTCATTGGGGATGTTCATTAATACCAAGCTAAAGGAGGATCTGATATTGAAAATCAAGAGGAAATTAGGACAGGAAGAAAGCCTTAGTTTGTCTTCTAAAATGAATTAATTGATTTAAGATGAGAACAATCTAAACGTTGTGGATAAAAGAAAAGATTTGCTTCTAAATTCTCTAAGAGGTTACCAAATATAAGTGGAAGCTGATGAAGGCAGAGGAGGGGGGGGCAGCTAACCACAACAAGCATACCAATTTGATTATACACTGATTTATTCAGTGTAGCATTTTTTTTTACAGCCTGATGGCTTATTATTTAGTATTATGATTTCATTAAGATATTAAAAAAACCAAGCCTTTCTATCCTCAGCTAGTTTTGTACTATGTATTACTTAATTTATAGGTTTCTCTCTGAGATTTATATAAATGTAAAAAAAAGTTTAATTTTCCTTTCTTTCAGATTGCATGGAGTGTATGGCCTGTTCTGATAATGTTGTCCGTGCTGGCTTGACTGTCAAGTATGTTGATGTGAAGACATTATGCAAGATGTTGGATTACACTGGACGACCTCCACAAAAAGCTATTTTCTCTTCCATTCAAGATACAGAAGATCCTTATGCCACTATCTTTAAACCTCCTGTTACAGATTTCGCTGTCATACGTATTGAGGTGAGACACTGACATTTTTAAAAAAAAAAAAATTCTTTCATATTTGTTGTTGCTCTTTATCGATATTTCTGAAGGGCCCTTGTGAATGAAGTAGACTTGAATGCTCTGACAATAATTATATTGTTTTACACTAAGGCTGGAAAAGGAGATTTTCTTTTTGTGCTATACTGATATTTAGATGCAATTTGGTTGAGCTTTCTTTTGAGCAAATGTTTTTCTCTCCTTTCAGCTTCCAGAAGATGTTGCACAATATCAACTAAGGCCACTTAGCAATGCCAGCATCTGTATTGTGATCAATGGCAAATGTGAAGGAACAACTCAGTCATTGCCTCATCCTCTCAAACTCAACCCAGGATCTGTGTTTTTTATATCTGCCTGTGAAACTGTGACTCTCAAACTGGAGTTAGGCAGTATGCTTATTTTCAGGGCTTACCCTAACCTTTAAGTTTTTTTTTGTTTTTTTTAATTATTTTTCCTCCTCCCTATAAAAAAAAAAAAAAAATGTACAAACACATACACACAAAATATACATACAAATGTTATATAACACCAAATGATGACAGTTCATCCAGTAGTAAGTACAACATACAGTTTGGGAACTTTTTTTTTTTTTTTTGCTTCCTCCTCTAAATTTTGCTGGATGACTTAAAGGAGTCCTTATACATCAACTGACACAGTCTTCTTGGACCATCTGTTTAAGCAAGGACCACCCCTTCTCCCTTGGTACATAGAAAAGAATCTTCCCCCTCCCCAGTAAAAAAAAGAAAATGCACGAGACCTTTTTAAAGCTCAATAATTGAGTAGTTATCTTTTTTTCAAGAGACATTAAAAAGCTCAAACAGTTTTCTTTGTCTTCTGAACCTGTTTTTATTTTTGACTCAATTTTCCCCTCTTTCTCTCTCCCCCCACCTTTTTTTCTTTTTTTGTTAGTGACATGTGCAACTCTACCAGTCAAGAAATGGATCAAGCAGTTATAAAGGATTGAATTTTGTTCAGTGTACTAAGGAAACTATTTGAGCCTTTTATTGTCAGGTAATTTTTAAAGATTTTATATTTTAATCTTAGGGAGTGTTTTTTTTTTTTTTTGTTAGACTAAGATCTGATTGGAAAGTTTAAATTTCTTTTGTTCTTAGTAATAAGAGTTTTTTTCTAAGTCCATCGTTACAAATTTTGTAGCACTGACTAACAGATTCTTTAGGCTAGGAACATTTTATCTTGTTGGTAACTGGTCACTCAATGTTCAGGTTTTGGCTTCAGAAAAAAAATTTAATTGATTAAATACTTTAAACAAAGTGGCAACATTTAAAAAAAATAAAAGTTAGTAAATAAAAATATAAGAAAATTATTTTAAGCATTCTATGAAAATAACTTAATCCATGTGCAAAATTTCATAATGACCCTTTAACACATACACGTGTGTATATATATATATATATATATATATATATAGGTCTTCATTTTTGGCATACTTGCTAGCATTGCATCTTATTTGCTTGAAATTCAATTTGATTCTCTCCCCCCACACACACACACACCCAAAGCTGCTGCTGCTTCCCCACCCCACTTGCTCTTCCTTAATAGGTTCATAATGCATTTGTCCCTCAGCACAGCTAAAGCTGTTAATTCATTTCAATAAACTTTAGTTTGAGCCTCTCCAATTTTCATGACAATCTTGGCAGGGGATGGATTTCTTTCAAATTTTAGTTGAAAATATTTCTCAATTTTATTTTTCTGATGGACTAGTGATTCATCTTTGCCATGTTTACACTTTCTTTAAATATTTAAAGAAACTTGCTTAAGAAAGCCGGGGGGGAGCTAGGGGGGTAAGGGTTATCATTTGGCCCGTATCTGGAGCATTTTGTAGAAAAGTGGTGATGAAGCCTGTCTTTTTAATCTATACTTGTTTGTAATTGGTTTTCAGTGAAATCTTGTCTTGAGACTATTTCTTAGAGATTAAAAAATTCAGTAGGTTTTAACTTTTTTTCTTCTGAAACTTCATTTTATTTCAGCTTTTCTTTTCTGGCCATTTTATCCCCTGTTCCTCCGGAATTTTCCATCCCTTCCCATTACTTCTATGAAGTTATTGTGGAATTTCTATTTAATTTGTCTCCACAAAACTGACAAAGGAAATAAAGGTAGGCACCTTTTTATGCTTGGAGAAAATCAATTTTGGCTTCTTTGGTATCAAGTTCAGTGGATGTCTTTCTAGACCAAAATCTGGTGAGTAAAATAGATCTGTAATTAGCATATATATATTTTTTTTTCTTCTTTTCATATATTTATGAATAAATATAAATGAGTAAAAAGCTTGCTGACTGCTCTCTTCTGCATTGCAACGTTCCTTTTGTTATTTATAACAACTGAATATTGCCTTCACCCACTGTCATGGAGATTTTGTAAGTCAGACAGCCTAACCTTGACTAAGCCCCAACCTTTGCTTGCAATGCTTAGAGTACCAAGGGCTACTGACAGTACCATCCCCCCCCCCACACCTCTCAAAAAATACAGGTCAAGAGACAACAGCTGCAATGAAAGAGAGAGAGAGAGGGGGGAAAAAAATGATTGAGAATTGTTTTATTTTTGTTTTGAAAGACCAGTTTTTCATTGTATAGAATGAGAAGAAAAAAAAAAAATTATTTTTTCAAAAATCATTGTCCAGCAGTAGCAGTGTATCTTTTATCCTTATTTCTAGGAAGGAATGTCTTAGAAGAATTAAAATGTGATGTCCTTGTGCTATACTCTGGTCACTGAGGCAAGGTGCATAAAAAAAAAAGCTGCTTTGTTATTCTCACTAATCTGAACAGGATTTTAAGAGATCAAAGCTTTTTTTTTTTTTTTTTCTCTTCTTCTTGGGGGGTAGAAAGGAGGGGTCAGATTTGTTTTTCTTCTCCTTTTATCAAAAAATGATGAATGGAGGGAATTGGCTGGAAATGAACTTTTTTTTTCTAGTGCATCCTTTGCAGCTTTTTTTTTTTTTAATGGTCAACTAGAAATTAAGTTTGGGAACATTGTATTGAATATCTAAGTGAAATTGGGGAGGTGGGGCTCAAAACTGCACACAAAAAGAAGGCACTGCCCTGGGGGCTGAGCAAGGGAAGGAGATCTCAAGATAATGATCATTTTTGATTATAACAACATCAACTGAAATTTGATTTTCTTTGGGATGACAGGAAGGATAACAAATTTGAATTAAAGTTAAGTTCTGCTTCTCTTTCATAAAATAAGCATTTTTAATTAAAGATGCTTAGAACTGGTTTCCCCATGACCAAAGACAAAGAAAAATTCTAAATTTCTCCACTCCAAGGCAGAAGGAATATATAGTTTCTTTTAGAGGCCACAGCATTTCAAAAAAAATGATTTAAGGAAGCTTGAGTAAAAGAACCAGAGTAGGGGTGGGGATATTGGGAAGTTTAACAACAACAATTATAACAAGTTGGAGATTATAGCATTTGGCATCACCAAATTGACCAGCTGCTAAAATTAGACAATGTGTCTTTTGTAAAAGGGCAAGGTTGATGGACAGTTTCCTGAACGGGTGCAGACTAAGAGAGTAGAGGAGAGGAGGTGCCTGGGCTGCATCATGACCATTGCTGCTGGGAGTAATGATGATGATGATTAAAAATTCATGTTTGAGTTAGAAAGAAGTCACTGCCTCTGCTTGGGTTTGGCTATCATCATCATCTGTTTCCACTCCGTAAAGTCATTGATTCTGTCAGGGAAGAGGAAGAATGCCTGTGACCATTGAGAACACAGTTGGCCAAAGAATTGGTTTTCATTTCTCAAGACAAAAGACTAGAGTTGCTGATTTCAATGAAGTACACTGCTTACATCCCACATCTGAAAGAGGAAAGAAAAGTGAAATTATTCAGATTTTTTTTTTTTTTTAAACTGGGTAGGGGAGAAGTGTTGATACAAGTGATCAATGTTAGCAAGGATCAGACTTGTCATTTCTAAGTTTCAGTATTATTTCAGTATTTCCAAATTGTTAGCATTTTAATGTTTGTTTAGAACAAGTAGAAAGTCTTTTTAAAAAAAAAAAAAGTGAGGTTTGGACATTGAAAATAAGAATCAGCCTTTGTAATTGATTAAATATTTTGCTTGCTGGGGCATAAGTATCATTCAAGTTGACACATTTTACTACAGCTGATAAGAGTGAAGTATCTTTAAATATGCTTTCTGGTTCCAACTGATATTGAAACACAAGAATAAATGAATGCAGGACTTCAATAATAAAAGAAAATAACGCTTAGAATCCATTGATTTTTTTTATTTAATTTTTTTAGATGTAGATAGCAGAACCAGTGTCTGGTGATTGTCGAGGTGACAAGTTGCCCTCTTCCTATCAATGCAATGAGTTTAAAGAAGACCACAGCCTACCTTGATGACTCTGTCCTTTCCAACTGTAAGGAGTCGTTTACGAGTGGCATCCAGGTGCATATGCACAATGCTGTGTTTGGCATCATGAAATGTAGCAAGAGGTGCTCGCCTGAAAGATAAAGGTTAACCAATTTTCAAATATTTTTATATTCTCAGGTTAATTAGAAAATAAAGATGAAGTTGAGGGTGGGAGGTATTACTTACTCTTCTTCTGTTATTCCAGAAAAACACTGATCACAAACACGGACTGCATATTCATAGCCAAGTGGGGGGATGGTGCACCTATTGTCACTGCATTTTCCACAGACAGCCCGCCCACACTTACGACAGTGATGCTGAAAATTAAAATATGGGGAGAAAAACCATAAGAGATATTAAACTTCAAGATTAGAGGGAGAAAAAACAGCAAATCTTTTTGCATGCAACACAAACAGAATAGAAAATGTTCATATAAAATTGGAAAAGATAACCAGTTTCATCCAAGAGGAGATTTTTCAGTGTGCCCATGTTGCCACCAAATATATAACACAAGGTCAAGTTTTAAAGCGGATTTAACAGCCAAGGGGAGATAATCCCAAAGAAATTTTGTGTTGCTAACTGAATGGCCATAATCTGAATGATACACTATTAAAAATTACTCTAATGACTGAAGATTCACTGCAAATCACCTCCAAGATTTGATGGCTGCCAATTTAGTGCCGATATTTAAAAAAAAAAAAAAACGGACTGATCCCCACCCCTTTTTTTTTCCCCCTTCATCAAACCAGATCACCTCCTCACCTGTCTGTTCCCAATCACTTTTTGCTCCCACATTTTTTGGACATTCCAGAAGAATGGGGCGTCACACTTCTGGCAAATATCACTTTCAGCCCAGTCAGGAGTCTGAAAAGAAATATGCAGAAATCAATTGTAACAATCACATTACTGAAAAATAGGAAAAGGACAAAGCAAAAATTATAAGCATATTTTTTTTAAAGTTACACGTAGACATTGGAATCAATTCTGCATGATAACTGTCAACTAGACACCTCAAACCATCTTTAGTGTGGCAAAATCTGTTAATCCAGTTTGGGTCTAAAAAGACATCATGGTTCATGAGGATGTCGATACTCAAAATCCTGTCAAAGTGATCTCCTTTGTATGCCACAATTTTAGTCACATGCTTCATCTGCTGGGCTAAAGAGGCACCTTAGAACCCAAGTTTAGGAGTTGACAATTTGATTAATGAAATGTCAATCAAAAAAAAAAAAATTATTTTTTTTTTTTAAAAACACCTTAAAGACAGCCAGTAAGGCAATATTAATGATTAATTCAAGGAAACGTCTACAAAGTCAACAATCATTTATCACGATAAGCTCACAGGCTGTTCAAATCTTTAAAAAAACAATTAGTGAGGATCTGTTAAGTTTTCCTTGTAAATACACCCTAAATAAGAAGTTTGATGTGGAAATGTGTGTGCATGCACATACTGGTTGCTCATAAAGTTATACCTCCTATTTTACTATAGGGCTTGAACTTTACTCATATTATATATATATATATATATATATATATATATATATATATAGTTGAAAGAAGAAACAGCAACAACAAAAGGAAAAGAGGAAAAAAAAGTTAAGCAGTGTTATTATGGTCTCTGTATCTTGTTTCCAATCGTAACAGCCATATTGAGAGCATATCTCTTTCAAACAATGAAATTGTTTGAAAGAGATATGCTCTCAATATGGCTAGAAAATAAGTTTTCCACATTCTACATAGTCATCATTTGGTGAGGTAGGCAGAGAAATGTGGTTGGAAATTTGGCTTTATAGTCAATTTCCAACCACATTTCTCTGCCTACTCACCAAATATCAAAGCTTTTCCACAAAAAAAAAAAAAAATCTGTTCAATGCAAAGTGTGTGTGTGTCTAAATGTTACAGAGAGATCTACATGGAAAGTTGTGCTAATCTTTACTCATTTCTCCTTGGCCCACACTTGGCTTTCCAGCTGCGATATCTCTCAAGAATCACTTTTTTTGGCTGTACCAACATCATAGATCTGATCACAACAGATGCCTGTGTGCACTCATAATTGTAAACATGTTCTCAATGAGGTTAAGTCTGTTTACTGACAGAGCGAGGTATCATATAGTCTCTAACAAATTTGATCCTCATGACTACTGGTGGCTCTGTAATGTGTTAAATAAGGGTAAATCCACTATCCCACATCTCTTCACTCAATTTGAGGTGCTATTTTCCGCTGATAAAGCTGAATGTTTTGCTTGTAAATTCTCTTCCAATTCTACTCTAAACTCATCTGGAGTATCTGTCTTACTTTCCACTTAGAACAGAGTCTCTACTGAGTGATAACTTTGTCCATGGTTTCTGCTATCATCCCTAAAATGGATCCTGACAAAGCGTGTGAACTTGATATTCCCGCAATAGTCCTTAAGAAATGTGCTCCTGAATCGATTCCTGTTCCCTAAACTCTTCAATAAATGCCTTGATGCTTCTTGCTTTCCTTTCTCTTCTGTAGTTCCAGTCTTTAAGAAATCAAGTGAACTTGCTGATCCTTCTAATCATCAGCCTATTAGCCTTCTACTGCTTTTTTGGCAAATTACTAAATGTTCTATTCAACTCTGAATTGGTTAAACATCTCACCACAAAGGATCTTCTTTCAGATAAACAATATGGCTTTCACTTCTCAAGGTCAATTACTGATGTATAAATTGCTATGGCTGAAATAGTCTGTCAAGCTTCAGTAAAGAATTGTGAAGCTCACGCTCTAGATATCTGAAAAGGCGTTTCACAAGTTGAAATTATTGATTTGATTCAATTTTGACAAATTGCAAAGTTATCTTGAATGGCCACTCTTCTAGATCTTTTTGCATTAATGTGGGTGTTTTGCATGGCTCTATGCTTGGACTTTGTTTCTAATGGCTTTCTCAATGTCATCAGTTATTAACTCGGTATATATGCTGATAACTATTTATTCTAGTCTTAATTGTAAGTCTGACAGGGTTGATAAGATCAAATTAGCAGCTAATCTCAAAAATGGTCTACAATCTGTTGATAAGTGGGGCAAGAAATGGCTTGTTAATTTTAACACCTCCAAAATTAAACTACTCTTCATAGTATTAGAGAATTTGTTTTGCCTTCTATCAGTATGGCTGATGCTAACCTCCAAGAGAGTCTCATATTGCACCAGAGGCTAACAAATATATTGCATCAATTGCTAGGAAAGTTGGTTCACTGTGTCCAGAAACTATCTTACACATAAGTCTACCAATTCACCTGTACATTAAATAAATAGCACCAGACCAGATGTGGCAGCAATATTTCGAGTTGCTTGATAAAATACAAAGAGGAAAGCCCTGACCTGTCATCTCAGCTTAAGTCACTTTCCCACTGCCATAACCTAGCTTCCGTGTGTGCCTTTTCTATAAATACACCCATGGCAACTGTTCTGGTGAGCTTTTCTCTTCTGTATAGTTATAGTTAAGACAGAAGAAGACCGTCCTTTCCCCAATCCCCTTTTCGGCCTTGTGCCACATTTCTGTATTAAACAGAATAAATATCGCTTTTCTCTTCTGTACCTCTACTTTACGAATTTAAGCTCAGTACTAGATTGGCAGCTAAGTTTCATCATCTTACAGTTGAAATGGCTAGATGCAAATGTAAGTTCTATGCTAACAGTTTCTTCTCTTACACTTCTCACTTGTAAAAATTCTTCTGGCTTCCCAGTCAACTTTAATCTTCAAAAATTTAAATGCAATGTCAATTGTCATTTATCGCCTTAATTCCTATTCTTTTTATTTTCCTCTCTCTTCAAGAAACATTTTATTTCGTAGCCAGGGATAGGGCCAGGTCAATGCTCAATAAGGGCATTTTTAGGTGCTTAATGCAAATGTGTGACAGGGGGGGGTCAATATTTTTCAATATTCGAACTTGCTTCTGAAAATCATTTACAAGTCTCAATAAGTGCAAAATTAATGAACAGGGTGGTTTTAAGTTTGGGGTTGTCAGAAAATTTCCTTAATAAATAAGCATGTCCCCCACCCCCTGACTATTAAGCACATTCTAGTAAATTTTTTCCAACTGCTCTACTATTTAACCTTAACTGGAATGAGGAAAACATGGATTCTTGTTTACTCTCTACATCCTACTCACTCACCAAAGGGATTAGTTTGAGTCCCAACACTACAGATACCATTCTGTGCCATTTATTGTGAAGCCACTTCAGGAAGTGACCCCAGAAAAGGTTATTTCTTTTACCAAGATTTGTTTTGCCCAATTACAAGGCTGTGAGTTGCTTACATCCTCTGTGGTTCCTAATTGGGTTTTCATCATGTGAGCGATCAGGTTCAATACAACTTTAGGCATCAAATAAAAACTGGTGATTCTAGAACCCACAAAGTTTACCAAAGAGGGTTTATAAAGAAGTATCTGTCTCCTTTCCTAACCCTCCCACCAACTGATTACCAACGCTCGTTTTTGTTTAGCACAAAACTTCCTTCCCATTCAACAAAGAGAATGAAAAAAAAATTTTTTTTTCAATACTCACTTCTACTCGTTTCCCATCCATATTCCAAAATGCAACCATGCAGTCATCACCTCCAGACAAACACTGATTAGAAATTGGGGAGTAAATCAAACACTGAACTTTATCACTGAAAAGACAAGAAAACCTTTACGTTTATATAAGAAATGGGGACACTTATGTCAACACTGTTTACAGTTTCTATTTTTAAGCAATCTATAAAACTATTTGGATTTAAAAAAAAAGTTTCATTACTATAGATTACATTGTCAATCTGTTTCCAACATTTCACAAGTGTCATAATTCTGCTTTTGTCTAACTCTTAGAAGAGGCAGGTTTCAACCTTATTTTTAATTACCATCAAGATGGTAATCAGATGGAACAAGATCCAGAGAATAAGAAGGATTTGAAATTCTCCCTCCTCTGGCTCCCAAAGGGGAGATCTTCAGCCATTTTTTTTTTTTTTTAGGTGCAGTCTTTGCTGCAGAGGCCCAGAATGGGACACTACACTTTTGCAATTAATCAAACTAACCCACTTTCCTTTCAAGCAGGATTTGCCCTGACAATAATTGTCTGCTGTATTCTGACAGAACTTCCACCCACAATGCTTATCAAAAGTTTCCTTAGAGGAGAGGGGAGACGCATTTTGGCTTTGACAATAGTCAGTTTAGCTTCAATATGAAGGTGTTGAAGGAACCATGAAACAAGCCATTGTCAAATATTCATGGGAAATTCACATTTGGCTTTGGTATACAGATTAAAAAAAAAACAAAAAAAACACAGACTTGTGGGTAAAAATCTTCAAAACATTGTGAGAGTTTTGTTATAAACCAAAATTAAGAAAATTACATTTTTTTTTTATAAAAAAATAAGTTAAGAAATTTATTTGGCTTAATTTTTTCAGATTAGGAAAAGTCATTGTCTAGTGGATGGCCATTGAAAGAAAGTATCAAAAGGTTTTGGACTTACTGATGTCCTTGCAATTCAAAGGCTGTTCCTCTCCTGCCTCCAATGTCCCACACAATAATTGATTGGTCAAAACTTCCCGAAAATAACAAACTTCGACTAGGATCCCAACTCAAGCTACGTACACTACCTTGAAAAGAAAAGAAAATCTATTATGAACAGGTCAATTTTTAGACACACACAGCAAAGTTGTCCTTTTGAATTTAACACATTTCCTAAACTAGTCGTGGTTTGCCAGAATTTGTGAAGAGTTCAAGAGCCTTCCTCAGGAAGTTGGAATGTCGAACTGAACCCTTTATTTCACTCACTGGGATAGACAATTCTAGTTCCACATGCCATGTTCTTAATGGATATCAGTTATCTCCTGTTAATTCCCCTCTCTAAGTTCTCCACTGCCTTAACCAGGTATTGAACTCACACCCTTTGGGTCATGTCACTGGATCTAATGCCTTTATCCACTGTGCCATGTGTCCTCAAAGACCCAAAGAGTTCAATACCCAGTTAAGGCAGTGGAGAACTTTCAGAGGGGAATTAACAGGAGAACTGATAACTGACATCCATTAAAACATGGCACGTGGAACTAGAACAGTCTACCCCAGTGAGCAAAATAAAGGGTTCAGTTCAACATTCCAACCAGCTGAAATGTAATAAATATGACAACAAAGATGAGGACAATAGTCCGAATAATGTACATAATACCTCATCTCAGAAATATAGACAGATACTAATTCAAGAGCATTACAAAAAAATTGGCCCATTTGATATATTTTGCAGAAATATTTTTTTTAAAATAATGAAATAATCTAGGCAAATTTGGACCTTTGTGCCAGCCCTACCCCTCAAAACAAAAAAAAAAAAAATGGTATTTTCATTGACACCACTATTATTTTAACTACCTCTACTTTTTGGCAATGTTTGTTTTTAAAAAGCAATGATTAAAATTCTAATAAAACTGAAACATGAAAGTGAATTTATACATTTTCTTTGTTCTTGAGAATTTATAAAATAATAACGCTATTAGATTGTTTATTTGTATTATTTATTGGAATGGTTGGCAAAACATTGTAAAATGGTAAATAAGGATTTCCTTATTGTCTGTTCACATTTTTTTTTATAATTTAGTAAATTTTTATGAATTAAATTTTTTTTTCATATTTATTTCTTTATAAATTGGTGTTAATGTTAAATCTTGCATTAATTTTAATTGTATTAGTTTTTAGAATGTTGTAAATATAAAATTATTTTTGCAAATAAACAATCTAATAAGTAGTGTTTATTATTTTGTAAATTCTGAAGAACAAAAAAAAAAAAAGTATAAATTCACTTTCATCATTTTTATGTTTTATTACAATTCTAATTATCACTTTTTAAAACAACAAAATTTGTCAAGGAATGAAGGAAATTAAAATAATAGTTGCAGTGTCAGTGGAAAAACCGTCCTTTTCACATTTTTTTTTTTTGCAGGCATAAAAGGTCAGTTTACCAAAATTTATTTCTCAATAAGCTGAAATATTTATCTCAGATTTTAATATGTTGAATGTTTCTCATAAAAGAAATGTTTGCCAAGAACGTACTTACCAGAGTGGCCTTTAAAAGTGGTAATCAGATCAAAACAATTGTTCTTTACTTTCAACACTGATATGTGACCAGAGTAATCTCCTACAAAGGCATATTTGGATTGTTCATCAAATCTACAGACAGTTAAAGAAATAAAAATAATGCAGGTCTTAAGGGGAAAATAGGAAAATTTGCAAACCAACTTGATAGGTTTTAAAAGCATTTAAATGTACTTGCAGAGAGCAAATATGAAATGAAATTTTGAATTCAATTGGATTAAAACAATAATTAGTGTCCAAATAGTGTCATCTCCATTAAGGTATGCACCTGAAGTATCAGGTAAATACTTTCAATCAAAGTGAAATTAATGTAGCACAGTAACTTTTTTTTTTTCTTTCTAAGAGGCAAGAAAAAAAAAAGTAGGTGGGACAAGAACCACAAATTCTTAGTCAATCTGTGGGAGGAAAAAAAAATGGGTAAAGACTGGCAGCAAAACTCATTTTTGCTATCAAAGGAAAGCTTTTCAGAAAATTTATAAGAATTGGTCCTTGGTTGCAAAATGAATTTAATGGTTGTCTAAATAGATAGAAATAATGAAAGGATACTGTAGACAGAGGCACCATGATGTGGCCTGATAACCCCCTAATCGTCGACCAGTTTCAGAACAGTGCCACTGGAAATATCTGTCACGCCCACAGCTTAAAACCCATTCACAGTTCAATGAGAAAATAATGGCAGTCACCCTTCCTAGATGAGCTGAAAAGGAAATTCATTTTGAAAATAAAAGGTCAAATATTGACAGCAGACGATCAGAAAACAATTTTTTTAATACTATTTTACCCATTAATTGCATCACATTCCTCACCATCCAGACCAACAAGTCCGAGACAATTACAGAAGACAAATTAATGCTACAGGTAAGTGGAAAAAAAAAAAAATTAATACATGTGCCCCAATGAGAAAGTTGGATTAGCAACATTTCTAGATAAAATGTCAGAACAATTTTTGTAGTCATTGAAAAGACTAAACCTTTTGAGTTTTCTACTTGAGAGGAAGGTGGGGGGGTGGACATATTTACATTATAACAATACAATATGGTGTAATAAATCTGTATTTTTCTGACAGAAATGAAGGTCATTTTTGTGCAAGAAATTCCAGAAACACAAAAATTGTCACATTTCTATTTTTTTTTTCATGAATGAGAGTCCTCGAAAAAGGATGCTACATTGTGAAATTTGCAGAAAATCTTTATAAAAAAAAAAAAAAAAAAAAATTGAAAAATCAAACACCACCAAAATGTGAATATCTCTTCCATCTTAAATTAAACCAATGGCAAGTTTATCCTTAATTTTCATTTCAAGTAGATTATTTTCTGTAAATTTCAATAACCAATTTTTTGTACACTCTCAACATCAATCAACTGAATGACATCCATACAATGATTCTCTTTCATTATCAGCATTCTTTAAATGATTTACAAAATTTGCATTATTATAGGTACCTTAATGAGATTGCTAAAAACAGAGCATAGCAGTATGAAAAAGACACCAAACTTGACGAAAACAAAATTTTAGCATCTAAATGCTTATGTTATTATTGAGAGGAAAGATCAACGTTTATTTTAATTATTTTTTTAAAATTTTTCCTTCTTTTTAGAACATTCTAAATTGATAAAAAAACCTTGTTTCTCTTTGTATCACCGGAACTATAAAATTTTAGCATGTTTTTTTCTGTATGACACATTAATTTGGAAAATCTTGCAAAAATAAAAATAATTGTCGGATTTTAATGAAACTTTAATTATTCACAAATGATGGAACTTATTATAAATAAGTTTCTTTTTAGTAAAGTCATGGCAGAAATACTTTTTTTTTTTTTTCATATGTATTATTAATGTTGTTATTAAGTAGATATATATTTACAGATTATAATTTCCAAAGCTTTTTACAAACCAACGAACAACAGTATATAAAAAAAAATTTAACTTGTGTCAATAATAACACTGTAAATCAAATCTACGGAAGATGAGAAGTATCATGTGTGCAATAAAAAAAACATCAAGTGGACTAAGTTTCTGTCTAGTATTTGACTTAAATACTGAATTTTTAATACAATTATTTGTTATTTCTTTAATTATAATAAATTTTTACATTTAAGTTGTTAAAATATAAAATTAGTTAAAAGCTGCATTCAGTTTCGTAAATGTCCTTTTGAGATATAGATTTATTTTTGCGAAACACGTGTGAAGTTAATTTGATTTTTCAATTTCAACTGAGAAGGGTACCTACAAGTATCAGTATCATCTTATGAAATTTATATGATCTTATTTTTATATTAATCTCAGTTATTTCATTTATGGAAAAATGTCATATCAAAATTAATAATAAAATGAATGGAAATACAAATAACACAGTCAAATGTAATAAATGTAAATAAAATTATAGTATTTTATGTACACTTCTGATAAAATTTCATAAGAAAGGTACCTATAAATTAATTAGATACCTTTCTTATGAAACTTAATCTCACTCTTAACAGTCTTATTTTAATTTCTTTATTTCCATAAAGCATCATAAACGTAAAGGTGAAAGCTAAATACAAAAAAAAAAATTTGAGTGCTGAAAGTTTTCCTTAAAAATAACGAGGTAAATAATTTGTTCACTTAAATGTAAATTTTTTCACTTTTCTCCTTCCGTAGAACAAATCAGCCTCATGGAATCCATCAATATGTCATTCAACACCTGTCAAGTGATGCAAAAGTTAATGACCTACTGTGTTTTATTTTCAAATTACATCTTTTCGGCGCAGAAGCTAAGTTAAGCTTTGTTCAAAATATTTTAAATAAACATTATAATTTCTGATTTTCTGAAAAATAAGTTTTGAAAAAATGATAATTGATATTTAAAAGAATTTCAAAGTGAGATTTCCAGTTTTTTTATAAAATGGAAAAAAAAAAAAAAGATTAAGGAAAATAACAGACATGCTAGGATTGATTAAAAAATGTAAAAAAAATACCCCCAAAATACTTTGAACTTTCCTCTTAATAATAACAAACATTTAGATGATAAAATTTTGTTTTTGTCAAGTTTGGCATCTTTTTCATCCTACTATGCTCTGTTTTTAGTGATCTCATGAAGGTACCTACATTATCACCAGACAATTTTTAACTTTGACTGTATTACTACTACTGAGACCTACATGCTTTCAATGTAAACAATTTTACCTATCAAAATTTCACATTAAAAAAGGAGGGGCTTTTCAACACTCACACACACAGAGAAAGGGAAAAGAAAATACTTGATATTTTGATCATCAAAGGATTGATTTCAGGTCTTACTTCAAGGTTTTGTAATTATACCATTATTTATTTAGTAAATTTTTAGGAGAGATCCATTTTTTTTCTACATTTTATTGGTCTAGCAAATTTGGTGACCTTCTACAATGTCATGTGGCTCTAAAAACTGGAGTCCAAAGGCCAAATAGCTTTTTTTTCTTTTTTTATGTACTAATGGACAATGTCAAATTAGACTCAATGCTAAAAAAGCAAATTTTACATTATGTCAATAAAATAGACTATTTAGAATTGGTAATCATATCTGGATAAGATTTTATATATTTTAGGTTATTTCATTGTAATATGATTTGAGTACTAATGTGAGCCTCCACATCTTACCATCAGACAACATGAATTGTATGCAGTACAGGCAATCTCCAATTATTTTGACAGATTCTGATCATTGGCTAAAAGCTGTTCCAAAATCATCTCATACATATATATAAACTTTGTCACTTTTACACAACAGACATGCGCACAGTGAATGCACAAATATTCCAAATTGTAAGCAAATTTTGCACCTCTTGAAATTTGGCTGAAAGGCAGATCCACTGAAAGCCAAGGTCATAGGACCTGCAGCTGAGATTTTTTTCTTTTCCAAATTATACAGAATTTTCACTTATTTTAATTATGACAACTTCTACAAAACAAAAAAAAGATACAAATATTAAAAAGGTAATTTTTTTGTCCCATAGAAGAAAAATAAAAATGTTTTCAAGAATCATGGCAAGATTCAAAAAGTAGTCTTTCAAAATAGTAAAAGATGATCAGACAATATTTTATTGTTGCCATGTAACATCAGTTATGGTTCTACCAATTTTCATTCAAGGTTAAAACCTTTTTTTGTGAATTGCTAGGGAACAACATTTCTAATAGAATCAACATTCCAAAAGTAATTGTATCAACTGTTTTAATGGAGACATTTAAGTACAATGAAATTATGTGATTGGATTACTTTTCAATATTTACAAGTCCAGGCAAAGCTGGGTACTTCTGTTTGTTTGGTCAAAGTTTGGGAAGTGATAGAATTTTTCAGCATCCTCCTGTGGAGTGTACACACACACACACACAAAAAGAGTCATTTTGAAAGTAATGCCCCCTCCCTATTTTATTATGCTGGTAGTAGAGATTCAACAATCTCACAAATATTTTGTTTTACAAATGGTAATAATGACAAAATAGCATCTGTAATGAAAATGTATACAAAACAGGCACATAATTGAATTCCATTATGAAAATTTACAGAAACTAAGCAGTCACTGTGAGTATAGTTGGTGAATAATGATACTTCAGCAGCAATGACAAATGCTATGGGTGACAAGCCACATTCCATCAAGACTTGTGCAAATACTAAGCAATAAATCAGTTCCAATAAGAAAAAAAGAGGACTTAGTGTTTCTGTTCTAATAATATCCACCACTAACAAATAGCAAAGGTAATAGCCGATTGCTAAGTTATCAAATTTTGTTCACATTTCATAAGCAAACACTTACAGAATTATCAGAAGCAGCTAAAAAAAATTGATTACAGCTTAGTGCTGATCCTTTCAATTAAGAAAACAATAAATCTGTCCAAGGATGCATTTCAAATACTATAACTGTGAGTTTAGGGTTATTAGAATCGCTAAAAAATAAGTTTGTTTTCCTTAAAATAGTAAAAGCAGAAAACCATTTCAAGAAGCCAAATATATCATCCCCCCCTTCTCATAACGAGTGCTTCTGTATCAATGTCAGAGTGTTGGTGGCATGATTTTTGTTTCATGGATCTGAACCACAAGTACAACAACTAGAGTTTTTTTTGTTTTTTTTATATAGAGAGAGACCTTTGTCACTTAAATTCCAGATCAACTTCTTTAAAATGGTCTGATGGAGAGGTGCAGGAAGAGAGACAAAGAGAGATTAGGGTGTTGTGTGTTAATATGGTCACATCATCTCAGTAAGGATCTCAGTTGTTACATGCTGATAGACTGCTTCTCAAATGATTTCTTTGAAAAGTTTTCATCTTAGCTTAAGTAAACCCCCTCACTCTTATCAACACTGTTCTCTACCAACACCTTTTTGTTCCTACTTAAAAAAAAAAAAAAAAATTAAAAACAATTACAACACAGCCTCAGACTTCAATCTGCATTTTGATATCATTTTTGTAATTCCACAGCCCAGAATAATCATTCAATAACAAGATTTATATATATATATATATATATATATATATATATATATATATATATATATATATATATATATATATATTATACCCACAAAAACACAATGGCTAAACTCAAATTCCTGACTAACAATTCAGATTCCTGTGTGACATTTTGACAGGTCAATGATTCATACTCAGTTGTAACTAGGCCAACATTTACACTTTGGAGACCATTTGAATTAAAAGAAAAAAAAAAAAAAAAAAAAAAAAAAGACCAAAATGATTAATTTTAAAATTTGGCCACCTGACCTGCTTAGGTCAGAGTTGATATCTGGTGTCAAAACAAAAAACTCATTTGATATCAGTAAAAAAGCTTTCTATTCAAGAAAGACTGTTCCAATTTCTCACAAGCCTCTTGCTACCATGGCTATGTTTCTCAAATTTGACAAGATAAAAAGCCGAAAAGTCATGACTTTACATTTCTTTTTGCCTAAATTTTCAGTTCTTTTTAGACAACCATTACCCTGATTTTCTTCAAATTATTTTTAGAAAGATTTTATTCCTTCCAATTAAAGTTAATTGAACAATAGAAAATAAATTCATGAATAAAATGATTGTCACAACTGAATAGACAATTCTTTTTACTGCTTAAGTTTTTTTTTCTTTTGAAGTAAAAAAAAAAGTAGGCAGAGTTCAAATCAGAAAAAAGTAATTTTCAGTTCAATTTCAAAACCATAAAACATTCCAATGTCATGTCAAAGCTATTTTCCTCTCTAATATCAAATGCAAATGATTTCCCACCTTTTTCGTTCTAGAAAAAGGTTTCTGCAATTTACTGCACATTATGTCTGACAATTTAAATAAGTTGAAGATCTCTTCGCTTCATAAATCATTTGGAAAAAGGCGAAAATAATTGATAAAAATATAAAATAAATTTAAACTCACCTAAATAATCTCTTTCATGTGTCATTCTGTTGTAATCATCAGAAACTATGAATTCCTGCAAAGTGAAACAAAGTCACTTTTCATTTTGCTCAGCAACAACAAAATACAGAGCCTCTTCAATTTATGGCAGTGAGGAGGAACAATCAGTCAGTTTTTACTTTTATCATTTCATATTAATCCTCATATTATATATTATAAAAAAAGTCCATACATTCAGTTAAAAGTAAAAATAAAATCATTCTTGCTAATGGCTAAAAGAATAGTCAAAAACATTTGAACATACAGAACATTTGGACAATTTCTACAGAATTTATGTCCAGTAAAGAACAAAAGAAAATTAAAAAAAAAAAAAAAGGAAAAAAAATATAATAAAAAGACTTAACTGCAGTACTTTGTCATTAGTTTTTAATGATAACTTGTATAAAAGAGGGATTGCTTACCAAATACACAACTTATATAGGCATCATGCCATAAAATGTTTCTAGCAAAACCAGCATAAGGTAACAGCATCATCTAATTTTCAGTACCACAAGTGTGATTACAAACGTTAACATCTTGGAGCTTAACTTTGTATCATCTTTATTTTTTTTTTTTAACATTTTTTTCTTCTTTGAAGTCATTTATTATGTTTGCAAAACAGCCAAGTGATGAAAAGAGTAGAAAAGTTTTTATCTTGAATGAGAAAAATAAAAAGAGTTATTCTTCTGATTTCACATGAACACAACACCCAAGGAGCCTCTGTAAATATGCAGACACTTTCCCCTGCTGAACAAGAAGTGGAGGGGGGGGGGGCTTTTAGTAACTTAAAAGAACGTCAGAAATAAATAGGTAGACTATTTCTCCTCTTTTTATTTTTTTTTATTATTTAGTATACAAAATATATAATCTGAAAAGTTAAGTAAAATACTGAAGATGAAGATGAAAATAAATGTACTGTTATAGGCAATAAATGGAGTTTGTGTCCATAGACTTCACCTCCCCACCGACATGCATTATATTAAATTTGCTTCTCCAGCTTGGGTACTAGTGGAAGTCAATTCTTCTCATGTCAGAAATTCCATTACCCCCCCGCCATTCATTTGGAGTTTGTAGGGGGGGGGGGAAATCCTAGCAGTCAAAAATTTATCTACTTACAGATATTGTACCATTATCCAGACCAACAAACAAGCGCCTTGTCTCCCCATTATAGTCCATTGCTGTAGCAGCAGCTGAAAAGAAATTTAAAAAAAAAAGAGAAAAGTTATGCCAAAGTTCTTTCTAATGTAAAAACCAAAACCTATCGCTCAGTCATGCAATAAACCTCTTCAATTTGACACATTATATATATATATAAAATACATGATTAATCAAATGTAAATCTCCAGGTGAAATAACCCAACTGCCACCCTCTCTTCTAACTGGAAGATTATGTTTACATCAAAGTCTTGGTGGAAAGAAATCTTTCTATAGATCTGCAAGTAACATCTAAAATACTAGCAGAAATCCATAGTGAGCTTAATAACCAGATTCCACTTTTGAAATCAGATTCTGGAGGAATCTGTAATCTCACAAGAGTGCAACAATCTGAGTATAGAATGGTAAATTTTGCTAATATTCTAAAAATAAAAATAAAAAATAAGAAACCACTAAAAGATGTGATTAATTTCTAATAAATGTCTTTGGATTAAGTTGACATTGCCAAGCAAGTGGATTAAATTATTGATTGAAATTCAATGTAAGAACAGCTGATTTCATTGTTAAACAATAATAATTCAAACATTTTGCTTTATATGACTTCTATATTAAAACTAATCAATTCAATGTCATTCATGGAAAGAAAGTTGAAGAGACAAGGCAAAACATTTGGAGGAATCAAGAAAAAACAAATAATTTACTAAACAAGTCATCTATCAATTAAAAAAAAAAATAAAATAAAATAAAAATAAAACTGCCAATGAAACTTTAATTAGAAATTCTCTGGGGTCTCCAAATATATTAAGAAAAAAAAATTTTTTCCCATATGGATGATGAAAATTACAAACATCCATGTGAGTGAGAGATAGAGATATCTCTAGAATAAATTGTTCTTTCCTACCAATGTTTCTAGCCAATGGTCAAATGTCTTCATATGCAGATATCAATGATGTAAACAGCTTCAAACTTGACATTTGTACATAAAAATGAAAAGCCAGATAATTCTTTAAATGCCAAGGATTGATTTTACACTATATAATTTCTTTTTTTTTTTTTTGATTCTGATAATTATCACAGTAAGGTAAAGAATGCTAATCTATAAAAATTATTTTCCAAAAAATTTTCATTCCCCCACTTTTTTTTTTTTAATGAGCGAGTGAATGAATCTACTTAAGTAGTGCTAAAATTGGAGCTTTTTTATTTTATATTTTAAAATTATTATATTTTTTATTTTATATAGATCCTTTTCTTAAAAAGGAAAAGATCTGCTGATTTTTTTTTCTTTAAATACAGAGAAATGCAACCCTAACATTTATCAAATCTATGGAAGTTTTCAGATGTGAAGAAAATCCAAACATGGATCATTCACTTCACTAGTAATGATACATGACATTAACTTTTATGGCTCAATTGCAAAGCTCAAAAAGTGTAATTAAATATGAAGCCTTGTTGCATTAGCTTTTTGTATTGTAAAAAGGGGGGGTGTACATATATATGTATGTATGTATGTATGACATGCTATACCATTTAGCTACAGAGAACCTTCTGGTTAGCAAAGTTAAAAATTTTATAAACAGTAATGTGTGTGTGTGTGTGTGTGTGTGTGTGTGTGTTTTGCCCAGTTGGAGCAAAAAATAAAATAAAAAGATATATAAAATGATGAATAGGTTTTATTATTTGTAATGAGAAGGAAAGAAAAAAATGAACTCAATCAAGTGATTTTGCTTAATAGTTAATCTATTAATAATACCTTCTAAGGCTTTTTGCTTTTTTACTTAGATTTTTCTTCCTAAAGAATTAAGAGAAAAATAAAAAGCTCCACTTATAAGAAATCTGAATATATATTGCAATAATTTACAAATGAGACCATCTTGAATTATTGGCATGAAAAGTCAGAGCAGAACACACTATACTACATAGGGTTTGATAGTTGACCAACAAGGGTGCTGATGTTGAAAACCACAATATCAGAACATTAGCATTGGACTGTGGAAGATTGGCTCCATGTTGCCTGGTCAAATGTGCTATATTTACAGCTCTTTCAAGCAGATAGCCAAGTTCTTGGTAGGGGAAGACTGCAGCAGTATTTATTCAGACTATCAATAGCGCGTGCTGTACAAGCTGGTAACTAGGTATTGATATTGAGAGGTTGGGGGCATATTACAGTTTACAAAGACCACTTGTGAAACTCGTCAAGTCTTGATATCAGAATTTGTATCCTTTTATTCTAGCCGTTTCCTTGGCAGTGGTGGAGGCAACAAGATAACTCATCCTCTTTCACATAATGTGCCAGTGATTGTGGGAGCACTTGGATTACTTACAGGTGCCCAGTTAGCCCCTGTGTTTACCAATACTGCATGTATAGAATATGTTACAGATCTCAGTAAAATTCACTGCAACCACACCACAACTTTGATAGATATGTCAACACAATGACTTCAACTCATCAGACTTAATTCTATGTCGCATAGCCACTGTTAGTCTGGTGAAAGGAGGAGTTACATGTTATTAGGTAGTGGTCATTATTTGTTTTTTTCTTTCTACCTCTCCTTAAAAATAAAAATAAAAAATAAAAAAAATAAAAAAATCTGACAAGTGTTATAGTCTAAATAAGGTCTTAAAAAATGCCAAAAAAATGCTACAAAAAATATTTCCTACCCACCAAAATTTTTTAATTGAGCAGTCTATTTAAGCAGTGCCAAATGTTCAGACAAATAAAATCTTAGTAAAAGTAAAGAAATACTTACAAGGCATCGAATGGCACACACTTGGCCAATATTGTCCAGTGTCTCTTTTCAGCCATATCCGAACAGTTCTAGAGAAGAAAATAAAAAAAAAAAAAAAAATGAAAGAATCATGTGAATTTCTCAGAGGTTCCTTACAAATCATTCAAACAACAGTTAAGTGATTTCACTTACATTATGTCAAATGATGCTGATAAATTCAAATGACACTTCCACAAGAGTCAAGGAAAGAGGAGAAAAAAAAAATCTTCCTTGTTAACATTTCTATTTACTTCTTCTTTGTGTCAAGCTCTTTCAGGAGGTAAGTGATCATGGCTCTCCACAATTTCCTGTTTTTTCCAATCCCCCTTAAAGTGTTATCCACTCACACAAACTCATTAAATAGGTTACTCGCCATTTCCTTTGTCTTTGTAGTAACCATGTCCTGTCAGTGACTGATTCTCCAGGCCCTCTTTCTTCAATCCAATTCTAAAAGAGAGTTTCCTTGGTTTTTCTATTTTCCTTAAGACTTCCTCATTGCCAATATGTTTTGTCAAATTCTGTCAAATTACATCTGTTACTTCAAGTTTTTTTCTTTTTCATCTGTGAAGAAATTGCCCAACATTCACTGACATGTTGGAGATTAGACATGACATAGTTTAGCATTTTTTCCTATTATTTTCCTGTCTTTGCTTAGTTTCTAAAAGACATCTTTTTACTATGCTAATGCACCTTTGGGTTTCTGTGTTACACTTGCATCCTCCATTACAACACTACCCAGATAACAGTACATGAAGGAAAGGTTGAGTTGCAAAATTGGTCAATTTTTCTTTTTCCTAATTCTATTACTTTTCTTGAAACATTCATAATTCCTTGTCCTAATTTCTGAAAGTTGAAGATTAAGATCAATCATTAAACATAAATAAAGAATTTTCTTAACTCCAAGTAAGTATAATTAAATGTAGCTTAATTGTTTCATTTGGGAATTGGATGTTCAATTAGAGTTTAAGAAAAACTTGAAGGTTAATATATTCCTCTTAGTGTAATGATAGAGATTTGTTGTAATTCAGAGAAAGACTATTTTTAATTTCTTGTTAAATTGTAAAGGGTGTTGTTCATTTTTGTTTTCACTTCTCTCATTATCCTCATTGTTTTTGTTTTTATTTAAATTTCCACATCAAATTATATGGGAAAGAAAGGGAAATTATGAAAATATCTCCAAAATGACACAAGGAAATAAAAATTAGCAGAAATTACTATAAAGAAATTTAAAAAAAAAAAAAAAAAGAAAAAAGAAACAGGGGGGGTCACCAAACAAAGCAGGAGAGAAAAATAGGCAGAAAGTGAAGCAAGATGAAAAGAAAGAGAGAATCTTGACAATCAGACAATTTGAAATTAAATTTGTAACTGGAAGAAGAAAAAATAAATCTGGTTGCACCTGTGTTGTAAAAATGATTTAGATAAAATCTGCTTACTCTACTTTTCAATTGCAATCAGCAAAGTCAGCAGGTAGAACACTGGACAGACTGGCAATAAGGTCTATAGTTCAAGGCCATCTAAATAAAAGGCTATTCTAAAAACAGCATAAGAAATATTGATAAGTCAATCACTTATACAGGTTGATTGATCAAATATAAATTAAGTCAAAACTTTCCTCAATAAAAACTTTCAATTATTCAAATACATAAGGACATTTTTAAACATTTTCATTTATTCTTTTAATATTACAAGTATGGCATCAGTTTTTTTTTTTTTAGCTGCTTTTAATTTTGTATAACAAAAAGTCCAACAATTCTAGGACTTCAGGTAAGGATTAGGTTTTAATTATTGGAATGGTTTCCACTCCAAATGGTGGGGAAAAAAAAAAAAGAAGGTTTTTACATAGAAGTAGGTATCGCCAAAGAAAACAAGATACCTAAAATTTAAAATGAATTTTTAAAAATGAAAAATATTTCTTGAAGCTTTTATATTAGTTTTAATTTCATGTTAATAGATTAAATTTGATATTTCCAACTTTGCTGTATTTCAAAATTAATTTAAATTGATTGGAAGGAGAGAAAAAAAAAAAGTTAATTTTAGTCATTTTTAGTCATCTATCAGCACAATGTAATTCTCTTTATTAAAAAGAATCTCAAAAATAAAATATACTTTTCTTAGGTGCAAGTGATTTAAAGTTTAGTTAATTTGATTTTAAATAAAATATTATTTTAGCTTAAAATATCACAGAAATGAATTTTCTAACAGAGATAGTTGCTTATTTAAGGTGTTGAAAGCTTTGACAGCCAGACAGCTTTATTGACAACTGGAAATTTAATTTTTCTATGGTGGACATATCTGTAAAAATTACTTGAGGAACATAACATAAGCAGCCTTCTTTTTTTTTTTCTTTTAGATAATTTTTAACTACCACAATCTTAAAAATTAAAAAAATATTCTCCATAATTGAATGTTTTACTGAATTTTAGGTACTTTGGCTTTAAATTTACTATAGCTATCACTCTTATTTTCTGAGGTTTTGTATGGACATCCATATTTACAAAAATCACCACAAGAAAAAAAAAAAAAAAAAAAAAATTCAAAATTCTTTTTATACTAATGGAGGGGGGGTCATTGAATTGTAAACTTTTCCATAATAAATGACTGGCAGAGATATAGCATTATCAGAGAGGCAAACAGAAATAAAACAGTTTTTATTAAGCAAAACTTTATCCTAATAGAAGGGGGAGGAAAAAAAAATGGTTGAATAGAAACATTGTCTAAAAATACTTGACATGAACAACAGACAAGGAGTTTATTTCAGTTTGAAAAACCATCATCTACTGTAATATAAGCATACACACTACATGCATCCACCCACATATCAAAATTTTTGTTATTATTAAGAGAAAGGATTTTTTGATTATTAATTTTATGTTTTTTAATCCATTTTAGAATCTTAAATTTTTCTTGTGTGACCATAAATTAGTATGAGAAATTTTAGCATCATCTTTTTGAAGTGAAAAACATTGATTTGGAAATTCTTGCAAAAATCAAATTGTAGGATTTTAATAAAATTTTCATGCCTTTATTCAAATAAAATTATTTTAGAAAATCTTAAATTTTTTTTTTTTTTTTTTTTTTTTTTTTTAAATACACACATCTGTTAATCCCAACTTGTTTAATTTTATGAAATTGAAAATTTTTTTGTAGCACTTCCTGTTTATATTAGTTATAAGCAGAATTTATAGGAGAATTTAAATCAGATTTTTTGTAAAATGGGACCCACAGTTAGAAAATCTGCTCTGAATCATAAAATAAAAATGTGCAATAAAACGAAAACATTAAAAAAAAAAAAAAAAAAAAAAAAAAAAAAAAATGAATAATGAATTTTTACAAGAATGGTTTTCATTTTTTTTTAATGAGAAAAATTTAGAAACTTAAAATTCTGTATTAATAACACCTAACTGCTATATTTACTAATCATAAATAGAAAAGCTTACAATTAAGTAACTAGTATTTAAAAAAAAAAAAAAAATTGATTTGTGTGCGTGTATATAAATGCACTGATTTTTGTAAATATAGACATTCATGACATTATCAGAAAATAAGAGCAGAATAACTATAATAAATTTAAAGACAACATACCCAAAATTCAATAAAATATTAAGTTACTTAGAATATTTTCCTAAATTTTAAATATTACAAGGCAGTTAAAAAATTATATAAAAAATGGTGCTCATGTTATATTCATCAAGTAATTTTTACAGATAAGTCTGCCATAGATTCCCCAAACATGAGTCTAAATAAGTAAAATAGTTGTCAAGATCTAAAAAAAAAAAAAAAAGCCTCTGCTTTTCTGCAATATTTTAAACTAAAAAAGAATATTTCAAATCAGGTCAATTAAACTTTCAATCACTTAATCTTCACCAAATAAAATTTCAGAAAAGTATGTTCTATTTTTGATAATTCTTTTATTAAAAAAAAAAAAAAAAAAAAAACATCTATGTCGCGCTGACAAATTTGTAAATATCACTAAAATCAGCCATTTTTAGCAATTTCAAAAACAAAAACCCATTCCAATCAATTTAAATAGCAAAGTATTTTGTTTACTGGAAATATTAAATTTAATCTATTAGCTTAGGTACCTCCACGAAATCGCTAAAAAAAGAGCATAGCTTGATGAAAAAGACGCCAACCTTGCTGAAAACTAAATTTTATTGTCTAAATGCTTATGTTATTATTAAGAGGAAAGACCAAAGTTTTTTTTAATTATTTTTAAAAATTTTCCTTCTTTTAGAACATTCTAAATTTTGATTAAAAAACCTTTTTCTATTTGTATCAGCGGAACTAGTAAATAACAGACAATTTTAGCACGTTTTTTGGTATGACACATTAATTTGAAAAATCGTGCAAAAAACAGAAATAATTATCGGATGTTAATGAAACTTTCAGGAACTATTCACAGATGATCGAAATTATTATAAATATTTTTTTTTTTTTTTATGAAAGTCATGGTAGAAATATTTTTTAAAATATTTATTACCCCCCATAAATAATTTTTGAAAACGCTAGAAATTGATCGCATCGGTTTTAGTGATTACAATAAGCACAGGGCTTTGAGGAATGCAAATCATGTTTTTTTTTTTTTTAATTGGATACGCAGTACCTGAAAATCAGCTCTGAATTGTAAACATACAAAACTCAATAAAACAAAGATATTATTTAATTTCAAATGCTTTTATTTGTTTTTATGAATATGGACAATATTTTCTGAAAGCAAAAAAAAATTTTTTTCGATGAAAATGAATTTTAATACAATTATTTATTTCATTAATTATAATAGATTTTACATTTAAGTTGTTAAAATATTATAAAATTAGTTTAAAAGCAGATCGGCTTTCATAAGTGTCCTTATGAGATAGATCTTTTTTTTAGCGCGTTGTAAATTGTATCATTTTGACTAATCAGAAGATCCCCAGTAATTAAGAAATGTAATTTTGTGCTTATAATCGAGCTGTAATTATAAAATACGGAAGACCAACCAGAATATAATTAAGTTGCGTTATTTGAGTTAAGCATTGTTCTCCGCTTTACTTTACTTTTGCGAAACACG